CAATCAGGTAGTATAACCACACAAGATCAGACACCAAATTTGATTCAGAACACCCAACACAATATATAGCTAGACAGAAAACGTGATAACCAAAAACTGTAAAGATCTCACCAAGCCCTTTAATTAGGGTTTCAAGAAAAACGCAGAACAGCTCAAGTTTGCAGTATCAGTATCAAGAATCGAGCACTACTCAGTCAAGAGCTCCTTCCAAACGCTCTGATACCACTGTTGGAAAGAGTTAACACTGATTAGTAAATGAATCAACAGAATATATGTGCAAAAATAAAACGAAAGGAACAAGAATCAACAAAGTAAACTGAAAATGGACTCATCTTTATTTCTTGAAGCACCCAAGTCAAGAAATCGGTACAGCTAGCTTAGCTTACTGAAGAACAACCACTGATCTAGTGCAAATCACAACCAAAGTGAGAATACAAGAAATGGACACTCAGACTAGATCGATTTATTACATAAAATAAAAGATCCCTCTTCGCAACACACGGTTCACACAAGAACCAACCCTCAAACAATGAAATCAATCAAGATTTACAGATTATTTGAGAGAAATCAGAAATCAAATGAGAATATTTGATTTTTACAGTGAACAAGAAGACACAAGAGAAACGGTGCAGTAGAGAGAACAATCAAAGAGTACAGAAGCAGAAGAATGAATCTCAAACCCTAGAGACGCCTTTTATGAGTCTCCTAAAGTGCCCTTCATCCAACGGCTAAGGTGATTGCACTTGGTGACATCCAGCCCGTCCATTTAAAAGGTAAGTAGAAAAACACAACTTCAATTTCACAGAAACATGCCTTTTCCCTTGCCCCAAAGAACTAAACAGATTTAATAAGCTGGGCTTCAATTAAATTCCAGCTGGGCCAACAATTTCAGCCCATTGGGTCACTGCATCATTGTGTCACAATTTCGTTTCAGAACTGAATCCAGGATTTCACTCATCCCGATTCACCTCGACAGAAACGATGGAATTTGAAATTAAAGTGATTACTACTTTATTAAAATATGAAATTTTAAATAAAAAAGGCTAAATAGTTAAAAACTTAAAATATAATGGGGTACTTATAAAAATACCCTTATAATCAGGGATGTTGTGAAAAATTATATGAATGGTTTTTAGGAAGTAAAAAATGTTGTGTAAAATGATTGTCACTTTTTTATTTTTTAAAAAAAAGAGACACAAACTCAAAAAAAGTGACAAATACCAAAATAGCACCATCCATGATCCATTTGTGTAGTACCAGTAATCATTTTTTTATCTTCTTAAAAAGTGGCAAAAAC